CCAACCACGGAGCCAGGTCAGGGCCACCCTTCCACCAACCACGGAGCCAGGTCAGGGCCACCCTTCCACCAACCACGGAGCCAGGTCAGGGGTACCCTTCCATCAGCCACGGAACCCGGTCAGGGCCACCCTTCCACCAGCCATGGAACCCGGCCAGGGCCACCCTTCCACCAGCCACAGAACCAGGTCATGTGTACCCTTCCATCAACCACGGAACCAGGTCAGGGCCACCCTTCCGCCAAGCACAGAGCCAGGTCAGGGGCACCCTTTCACCAGCCACGGAACCAGGTCGGGGCCACCCTTCCACCAGCCACGGAGAAGCCGCTCCGTGAAGCAGTCTGTCCTGGGAGGGCTCCACACACAAGGAAGACTCAGCTCTGTGACATTAGCACTTACGTGAGCTGGAGGGACTGCTGCTCAAACATGACCATCAGAGCTCCTGGTGCTTACTCCTTGGCCTTCTCGGACCTCAGGACCAACACCTGGTGGATGAAGACACCTTGCAGGAGGACGGGAGCCAGGATGCTGAGCTCCAGGGGCTCACGGAAGATGCCGTCTACACCACCATGCGTTTCTCCCGGCCTTTCCGCTCCTGTGACCCGCATGACCAGGATATCACGGTATAATGGGGAGTGAGTGTGGCAGGAGAGCACAAGCCACTTTCCTCCGGGAGAGCGGAGTCCCCTCCAGTATGGAAATGTCCCTGTCCCCATTCCCAGGACATCTATCCCTCAGTCTTCCCAGACACTGCTCAGTCATGCCAAGTCCAGGAATCCAGGAGTCCTCTATAGGATGGGGACCTCGGACCCAGCATCCATGCTACTCTTCCCAGCATCCTCTCTGGCAGGACCTATCTACTTGAAGAGCCTTGCCCGATCACATTAAACTTGGGGTCTCAGAACCTAAGTGTTCAGCTCCACCATGGTGTTTTCCAAAAGTGGAAATGTTAACAGCACGTTAGCCCAGGAGGCTACAGCGCAGGGGTCCTGACACCCAGTCTAAGCTCTCTCCCCACTCAGTGTGGATGGGAGCAGGTGGCATGTGAGGTCTGTGTGCAGAGTGTACACAGCACCCCTCAGAGGCTCAGTGCCACCATCTACCCCTGCAGAGTGACACCGTGAGGGTCCTGGCAGCCTATGGCCAGGACGACACTCCGAAGCTGGACCGGGAACACATCTTCGTCAAGTCCATCTTCCTGCTGCAGATCATCCACCCCGATGACCTCCAAGTCCCCGAGGACACCATTATCCATGACCTGGAGCTCACTAACGTAGGACTCCACCCTCCTGGCCACTCTGGCTCCTTCCCGTCTTCCCACCCAAGGCTGCTCCTGCAGCTACCTTTCACACTCCCTGTGCCCCCAGGATTGTGTTTACCCAACCTTGCTCAGCCCCCAGGGTCTGCCAGGCCAACCCTAGAGGGAACCCCACCCTGGTGCTCTCTCTGCCCCTCTGGACATCTCATCTGCACCCTCAGCTCCGCTTTGGTACTCTCTCCAGTTCCTCATTCCAGAAGATGACACCACTTATGCCTGCACCTTCCTCCCTCTGCCCATCGTGAGCAAGAAACACCACATCCACAAGGTGCTTGGGCGTGGGGGCACCAGGGCTGGATGGTGGGCGGTAGTGAGCAGGACAGGGTCACAGCGGAGGGAGTCCACGCTCAGTGTAGCGCTGGGTGGAGGTTATGGGGAAGGACAGAGAATGAGGCCATGTAGATTTGATGAAGTCCATTAGAATACGATTTGTAGAGTCCTGAAATCAAACTACTGGCACCACGTTAAGGAGTTCCAATAGAGCAAAGGTTGAGTGCTTGGCCACTAACTGGAAGGTCAGTTGTTTAATCCACCAGAAGATCTGTGAGACAGACACAGTGGTGACCTGCTGACCAAAAGATTACAGTCAGGAAACCACTATGGGGCAGTTCCACTGTGCCTCATGCTGTGTGCAGGGGTCAAGGGTGATGCAGAGCGAGACAAGAACACTGTTGTCCACATCCCACAACACACCAGATGACTGGACAAAGATAACTGCTTAGCAAGTATTTGCAGAGAACAAGACATAAGCCCACATGCTGAGAGCAGCACCCTTCACTCAGAAGGTGAAAGCAGAGAGGGGCCAGGGTCAAGGCCTGTAGGGCCGCAAGTCAGACGTTAGTTTTGATGAAATGAGTAAAATTATTACAAGAATCTCAGGTTGTTCAATGGCTGGCGAATTCATTTGTGAGCCACGGGTTGGCAGTCCAAATCCTCTGACCGCCACATGGGAGGAAGATGCAGCAGCTCGCTTCCCTAAAGACTGAACTTTAGAACCTTTCGGGGCAGCTCAGCCCTGGCCTGCAGGGCTGCGATGAGTCAGGAAGAAATGGATGAGGTGGACACGGCATTATCTCACTGTCAACTCCGCATGCCTGCGTGTCAGCGCGAACTGAGCTCCACAAGCTTTTCAACAGCTGACCCACATCCATGGCCATCGGCACCCACCACCCCAGCTACAGATCCCCTGGTCTCTTCTAAGGACCTGGGGGTGGCAGACTAGCAAAAAGAAGTAGGACTAGTGTGGAAACCATTTTCTTTAGAAAGACTGAAACTCATTGGTTTCCTACTCTCACGTAATGAGGCCAGCTGTGCTTATGACGGAAAGGAAGTCTAGACAAGTTCTCAGGAAAGGGTTACAGGGTGAGGTGGCTGAGGAGCCACTCGGAGTGGGGAGCCATGGGGTGAGGGGAGACAGGAGAGATGGACGAGGTGAGGGGGACAGGAGAGGTGGACGGGGTGGGGGGGACAGGAGAGGTGGACGGGGTGAGGGGAGACAGGAGAG